AAAGGATATAATATCAATAAGAATATATACTTTTCTATTTCTATTTCCCATTTTTAACCTTCCTTTTAATTCGGATTGCATCGGGTTAATTTCTTTTAAATTGGATAGAATTTTCTAAAAATAGTTTAGAAGATTGAAATATTTTTAATTAAATCAACTAGACCAACAAAAAAAAAAGAATATTAATTATTATGGTTAACTTAAAAGAATAAAATAGTGGATAATTCCAAAATAATAATTTTTATTGTGAATAATTGAAGAATTAAAATGGAATATGCGAAAAGAAAATAGGAAAAGGAAAAAAGTAAATAGGAAAAGGTGAGTTGGGGATGAGTAGGACCAATAATAGAAACAAAGATAAGAGATAAGAACACCATTCTCTCTCCTCGACGCCATCTCCAGGGGACACGTCATCTTCTCTCTCTCTCTAAAATTAACCCACTGGATAAGAACCGACGATCTCGCCTCTCCGCACCCTCCGTATCTAAAATCCTCTTCCTCTTCGTTTCTATTTAATTCGCTCTTCCCCTTTCTCGATACCTCCAATTATATCCTTCTTTGCATCGCTTTTGCCTCCGATTATCCTGTTTTTTGAAGCTCTTCTTCTTCTTGTTGTTGTTGTTAATGGCGTCTGTTTCTACTGCTGGATTCATTGCTCGGACTGGTTCTTCGTCTTGGATTCGCCAACGAAATCGGGCGAACAAGCTACATCGGAGTTCGAGGAATCAAGTTAGGGCTTCTTATTCTTCTTATTCCTCTTCTTCTATGGCTGATCCTTACCGGACTCTTCGGATTCAACCTGGCGCCTCTGAATCTGAGGTCAAAAAAGCCTTCCGTCAACTCGCTCTTCAGGTTCGATTTCTCTCTCGCTCTCTCTGTATCTCTATTCTTTCTCGATTTGTGGACTTCCTCATCTGATTCGTTGAATTTGATCGTTTTTTCAGTATCATCCGGATGTATGCAAAGGAAGTAATTGTGGAGTGCAATTTCATCAAATCAATGAAGCCTACGATGTACGTGATCCAAGCCCTAACTAATTAATTATCCTCTTCCATTATTGCATATATATTATATTCATAATCGGATCAATTATTGGAATCGCTTTCTTAAAAATAAAAATAAAAATAATTGAGCAGCAAACGCGGTAACTAGTATTGATTATGATTTCTTGTCGGATATTTTTAATTCGAGGCGTCAATCGAGTGTTTGGATCAGATCTATATCGGTTCATCTAATATTGAGTTCGGTATACTTATCTGTTGCATATATCATTTTCATGTTAGTTTAGTTCAATCACAATACAAAACTAATGTCATATATATTTGCGTCTGAAACAGATTGTGATGAACAATTTAAGAGGAATATCAATGCCAATCGAGACGTACGATACATACGACGACGGAGGTGACGAACCGATGAGGGGAATGGGGGATCCGGATTGGGATTTGTGGGAGGAATGGATGGGATGGGAAGGCGCAGGGATTCGAGATTATTCGTCGCATATAAACCCGTACATTTAAATGAAATTGGTGAGGGAACATAATTTGTTCATAGAACTGAGCCCTAATCTATCAACATCATCCAATGGTGGTGGTGGTTGCTTGTGCATATAATTTGGATAGGGAGAGATTGAAGAATGGCTCTGTCTTGATGTATCCTCTTTTGTACATAAGGTCAAGACAATGGCTTTGGGTTTTAATAATAATGTGAAAAGGCTTTCAAGATGCCCTTTCGAATTTGTGGGCCCTTTCTGTCTTATCCTTTGTCCTATCTAAGATGTTAAATGATTGTGGAGTTGGTAAGCTCAATTATTTAAATGTCTTTCTATAAAAAAAATTACGTTACTTTAACCTCAACTATCTTGTTTGAGTGGTAGTGAAATACAAAATATTTTCTATTCCAAAAAAAAAAAAAAAAAAAGGCAAATTGGATTTATTGGGCTGTGGGCGTGTGAACTGCGCGCCCACATGGGCTCGGCCCAACTCAACCCAAATGAATCGATTCATGCTTTCAAGCTTTTAGGCCTACTAGCATCTTTACTTCTAATCGGATCCCTAGTTACCTTCTTTCCCTTTGGATTTATCCTATTATTCAAAATCATCCTAGCTTGCTCTAGCCCGTAAAACAGCTCAAGACCACCGTTAGTAGATATTTTTTACTTTAGATTTTCTTCAAAGTTTTTAAAATAGTTAGATAGGTTTCTACACCCTCGTAAAGAATGTTTTTGTCGATGTAAGACCTCACAATCCACCTCTTCCTGATGGGGGCCTAGCGTTCTTATAGTAACAGCTCAAGCTAGTTATTGTTCTATGGACTTTCCCTTTTAAGTTTGTTTCCACGTTCTTATAAATAATGCTTTCGTTTCTACTCGAACATTCAACTCAAAAGCACAATTTGGGAGCATAAATCTGGGGTTTGGAAAGACCCATTAAGCCTGTTGGACTACCTTTAGGCTTGGCGAAAAAGAGTGGTTAAAATTTTGATACTTTTTAAGTCCCCCAAAGCCATAAATAAATGAAACCATCAAAGATGACCAAAATGTGCAATGTACTCCTTTGTGCACCTTTGAAAGGTCTCTGCCAACACAGTTTAATAACCAGTTTGATAAACAGCTGATCTTAATGCCTTCTCAGATGCCTGAGATCACTAAGGAAGAAAACCCAGAGAATGATGACGGGGATTCTAAAAATTAATCCATGAAATTTTAAGAAATAATAATAACTTTGTTTAATATTTCATAATTCAATTGCCTATTTTTTTTCTCTTAAAATAACAATACTTCTACATCTATATCTCTTTTAAGGTCAACAATTCCATTTTTTAACTTTTGTTTAATACTTCATCATTCAATTGCCTATTTTTTTTTTTCTCCCTTCTTAAAATAGTAATATTTCTACATCTATATCTCTTTAAGGTCAACAATTCCATTTTTTCAGTTCAAAGATTCCATCCTTGTTTCGTAATAAATAAACAAAACAAAACAAAAAAAAAAGTTAAAAAGTAAATACAATAGTCAAAAGTTAAGTAATACATCAAATCTTCACTTTTTATTTATTCTCTCTCTCTGGATGAAATGTATTATCCACGGAAATTTATCTATTTATTTATTTATTATTCATAAAACTTATAAAAAAAAATATCCAAGCCTCATACGACACCTTCAAATTAATTTTTAATGCATATTTATATCAAGTTAATAACTTTTAATTAATACCACGCCACCATGAATTATTAATTCCTTTAATCAATATTTAATTCCGTCATCTTTTCCATAGTAATTTCGTTTATCTCAAGGGAAATTAGTACACAAGAAATAATTAAATAATATTAAATAAATGAAACAATATTAAAATAAAGCCAATTGAGAGACTTATCTTAAAACTTAAAGAAAAATAAAGGAGGCTAAGTGGGTGTGGAATATTTCTCCGAAATTTTTGTGGATACTTTGAAAAATGGAAATCAAGAAATTACCTTTTTTTTTTTTTAAAAAAAAAAAACAAAAATAATGTAATTGCTCTATTTAAATAATTAAAAGAAAAATACTGTGCTTTGGTGTTCCAAACCTTATCCACAAGTGGGCCCCACGGTTCATCGTTATCCAAAATGGCACCACGTGGATAAAAATACGCTTACGTGTCCAGAAGTTTTCGACACGTTTCAAGTTCCTCCAATCACAGCAATTCGAAAAACGGAAAGGCGAAATCACTTACTCTACCAAGAGGAACATTGTCAGGTGGGTCCCACGTCTTTCTCACGTGCTAGCACGTGACTTCCAACAAAACGACAAAAATTATAGCGTGTCGTCATCTCGCCGCTATTTCAGCAGAAAATTATCCAAAAAATTTCTAATATTATCATAGCAAAGACAAAACTTAGGAAACTTCTAGTATTTATAATTTTTTTAGAAATATTTTAAAAAATAATATAATATATCAATTAACAATAAATCAATTTAAATAAAGGAAGCCGATATTATATTAGTGTGGCGGTAGAATATTCTCATCAAATTTTCGTATTTTTTTAATTTTTTTTACCTTTTCATCGAAGTTATAAAATCCCAAATTAATTAATATAATATCCCACGAGTTATATTTAAAATAATAATAATATTCACAGTATGAATGGATAGGAGTGCTTTTCACAGTCAGCGGGAGTTCCTAAACCAAAGCCAGTCGGGGCAGTCTGGAATGGACTGGAACGGCGGCTGACGTGGAAGGAGAAGGGGGGGGGGGGGG